CTCTCTCTCTCTCTCTCTCTCTCTCTCTCGCTTCTTCTCACCATGTGATCTGCTTGTACCCACTGTCTGCCTGTGCTTTCTGCCATGAGTAGAAGCAGCCTGAGGCCCTTGCCAGATGCAGCTGTCCCAGAATCATAAGCCAAATAAACCTCTGTTCCTAATAAATTACCCAGTCTCAGGTATTTTTGTTATAGCAACATAAAACAGACTAAAACATTGCTATAAATGAGATTGTTGGGTCAAGGTTAACTGCACAGGGAGTTAGTAGACATTGCCAAGCAAAGACCCCACCATCACAATAGGAGCCAGAGAATATTAAATTTAGTCTAATTTGCCAGCATCCACACAACTCCTTGGGAAGGAATTCCATTGGCTAGATTGTGAGGAGGCAAAGTAATTGTAGGAACTCACAAAGTAACAACAGGCACAGAATAACAGCAGGAGTCCACAGAGTAACTGTAGAACCCACAGAGTAAAATCAAGAACTCACAGAGAAGCAGTAGGAACCCACAGAGTAGCAGCAGGAGCCCACGAAGTGGTTCAGGACAGTTCATATCGACAATAGTCATTGAGTGTGTACTTTGCTCTAGTCACTGTACTTGACTATTCTGCTTGTAGAGATTAACATATTCTGTCTCCTCAGGAATTTCATCAATGGAGAAAGAGAAAACACCCAGAGGAGCCAGGAAAAACTCTTCTCTAAACATGTGGTGTAGCTGGGGTTCGTAGGGAGGTTACCCAGATGGAAGGCTCTGCATGGGGAAAAGTGACTGGGAAGGAGGTGCTTTCTTACTAAATACACTTGTTGGCATTCAGTTCATTTAACAAGTTTATATACTCGGGTGAGGAAAAATATCATGTTTCTTTATTCTCTTTAAAGTAATTCAAATCTGACAGTATCCAAGGAGTTGGGGAAATTTAAACTCATTGCCATAGCCCCTCCCCAATGTCAAGTCTCTCATGGCAGTAAGCGGGGGACTGTCCCTGCTTACAGACTCCACTAGCTGCTCCATGCCTCACTGGGAGATTGGGTGGTGGCAAACACAGCGGTCCCGTGCTTCTTGGAGCGACACTCCACGTCTGTCTCCTCTGACCTTCCCAAATGCTATACAGACAGTGTGTGTGTCCCTGACAGTCTTGGGACAGCCTAGATTTTGTCCCCTCCAGTCTCAGAGAATCTTCTTGTTCTTCTTGCTCATGCCCTCAGGAACATGTAGCATAATGTTTAACGGGGGTCTTTCCACAGCATGTGAAGACCACTTCTGCTTTCTATACAGCAATGATATTGTGATAAGAGATAAACACGCCAAAGCAAAACACCCAAACAAAACTCTACCACTTTGATATGGAACTAGGAGGGTAATACTTATATATCAATTAGTGTCTCAGAGTTAATGCTCCATGCAGACTGCATATCAGGCACTGTGAGAGACGCTAGATACTAAGTGGAAATCCCTGATTTCCAGGAGCTTACCGCCTGAGGCAGATATAGAATGGCAAACAGAAAATAGGGCAATGAGGGCTGTAAGGACTTACAAATAATGGGTTAGAATACAATTTTAGGGCTGTACGTGCAGGTACCTGCAGTGACAGCAGCCTGTGGAGTGTGCGACATCAGAATGGGAAGTCATAG